ATTAACAGCATTTTGTTCCTGTTTGATTTCCCTGATATCATCATCTAATTTAGCAATAAGGGTGGTCTTTTCTTTATCTTTCTGTTCTAGGTTCATGAATCTGGCTTCGTGTTCTTCCAAAGCATGCTTTAACTTCACATTCTCAGCCTTAACTTTGGCATTCTCCTTTCTAAGTTCTGTAACTTCAGCTAAGAGCTTCGAATTTATCTCTCTCAACGAATTGATCTCAGATTGCATGTTTGATAATATTTTTTTTTATACAAAATGGAATAATTCAAAAGTTCGAGTTAGTATAGTAAATGGATAAAAATCATATGCACGTGAACAATTGTTCACGCCGATCACTTTTGCTAAGAAAATTTTTTATTAATAAATACAAAAGTCAGAGACTAATGTTTATTCACTAAAGTGAACGAAGACATCTCGTTGCCTCTCCCTCTCTCTTTCGAGGCGATGATAAATTTTTTTGGCATGCTTGAAGCAATAGCCCGTATAAGATAATGTAGGTTTATTGCATATTTTACATGGAGATTTTAGCATATTATTTGCATCCGATTTCCAGTGGAGCGAGCATCCTGCCAAGCGGGTACAAACACGACCACAAACACTTCCATTTTTTTTAATATGGTGACAGGTAAGACGATCCATCTGAAGTATTTATATTGTAAAAATCCGATTTCAAATTATGGAAGAAAACCGAATTGAACTGTGGTGGAAAAAGTATATCATAAATGATTAATCATATATCACAGCATAAATCATCATCTATGGATGCGGAAAAAACAGTATTCAACATTCTAACCAGCCGATGGATCGACTCAAACAGTAAGTTATTCCAGAAGTTGATTCGCGAAGGCTACAAATATGCCGATAGACTTTCAGATTATTTAGAAGATATTGGAATTATGTATGTCGGTGAATTCGAATTAGACTCCTTAGCCGACTTCTACCACCTAGCTCTAATTCCGCGTTTATCTGTCTTAGCAATTAGAGTAGATATTCGTAAAAAATTTATTATTAGTGTGGAGTCTGCTGTTATAGGAGGAATGAATCTATTTACTCTAGAAAAAAATAAACGGACTTCACTTCAGAATCTAATCCAAATGAACTATTCCATTGATAACTTGAATATGTTTATAGGAATAACTTGGGAGCAAGAAGAGATGAAAACTTGGAGGAATGACGTGCTTATAAAATTTCTCCACCATTCGAACTTAGCTTTTTCGAAGCATAGACCGGGTGCATTATATGATGCATTTACCAAGACGAGTGTTTTAGGGCCAAAACATATATTAGCTCTAGCGCAAACATTTTACTAAGGAGTGATTACGATATAAATAAATTGTTTATAGCCCTGGAATGGCAGTTCCATGACTATATATTTTTTCGCTTATCATATATACCTGCAAAATTCAATTTTTTTATTAATATATAAATTAATACAAATGTTCGGGACGTAGTTCGTGATACATGACGCCTATCTAATAAACATGATTATTTTTTCTTGATTATCTCTTCTACACAGTGCTTCTTAATTGCGAGTTTCTCACTACCTAGTGCTCTATCCTTTAATAAACCTACTATAACCTCTAAAACCCTCTTCACATTCTTACGCAATTCTGTATCATCTTTGAGAGCGTCTTCTGTAAGTGAAATTCGATACTCAGTTCTGCTAGTACTATAGATGCCCTCGGTGCTATGAAGAATGAAGTACCAGTCAGTGCCAGTACTGACTATACCATAGACGTAGTCGTAGTCGGGATCGAATGCCTCATCCACCTTCCTTTTTTTTCTTGTTCATATTTATATTCATCTGAGGGAAATAGAGAAGTAAGTTATCAATAGACCATGATCATCTTATAGCGAGTGGGCTAGTAGAATTTGCTATACTTACATCACAAGCACTTTGACATTGTAGTAAGTTTTGGCAGATACCTATAGTTGCCTTCGGTTATGCAAATTATTTCCTCCAGCATCTCGCTGATAATTTTCTTGATGGCATAGTCGACACAGCCTGTGTTTTCTTCACCAATTATATTTGCCTGAGGTGTGATTACCAAGTCACTGAGAATACTTACAGCCGTATGTAAGATCGTTGAAATGTACTCACACCGCATAGCTTCGTTACTATCTACAACTGGTCCCATATTTTTTATTCTATGGAGAATGTCGTCAATACATAGCTTAAATTTAGGGGCGCTTTCGTTGATGGTGTGGATGGCTATATTATGATATGTGAGCTCGAAATATATAAAAAAGAACTCTTTTAATCTGATATTACTTACGTGGTATGAACTGTGAAATGCAAGTTATATCTCCGCTAACAATCCCATATTTCTCCAGCACATCACTTAGGTTTTTCAAACTCCTGTATAAAGAGAACGACTTTTAATTTACGCTTGCCAAGTTCTTTAGCGAAGTCAGCAAGGTCTGAAGCGGGTCCACCTGGCATTCCATAACTGCAAAGTTTTTCTTCAGTAATCTTGAGAAAGGCACAGCCAGTAATTCTCTCCTTTTCGATTATATCATAATCCTCCTGAACAAGCTCCAAGTCTTCCTCCTTACGCAAAAAATCTATAAGCTCTTTCATTTTATATTTTTGAACCACCTCAGCTAACGTGGGAGCATTTTTTTCTTCTGTCGCAGTAGCGGAAGTGGAGGTAGAAGCGGGAGTATTAGTTTCAGAAACAGACATAGTATTGCGTTTTTATAGGGATATTGGGCTTGGATAAAAAAAATAGTGTTACATTCTAGAGTGAAATAAAAATTTATTTCTGTTCGGGAAAGAGAATACTGGGTGTTAATATAGATTTTTATGTAGCACAGCCATTGCATCATTATACGTAACCCATTTCTCATATACGTTCAATAAAATATACTTTATTTATGAAATAAAAGACATTGGTTGCCAGAGGCAACTCTACAATACATAAAAATTTCGAATA